AAATGGTTCACGGGCATATCCCCTCTTCCTATTGTATTGATTAATCGTGGGATCCACACGTTTAATTTATGTATCAAGTAAGGATGGCACAGATAACGGACTGTTCCTGTATTCCTATTTTCCATTTTTCTTATGTTGCCTCAAAAAACCCCAACCTTTTTTTCTCATCTTCAATCAACCAGTTTGAGTCTTTGAGAGTGGTCTCGACTGGAAATGAATGATTTGATCTGAGACTGAAAGTGTTTGATCGGTGATGCACTTTTAACCCTGGTCTTTATTTCCTCTTGTACTAAATCTTTTTACCTAATGCTCTCTGTCAGATAGATCAGGTCACATGTTACGCTGGCAGACCACTTCTAATAGAACAAGAACAGGCAGCTTCCTTATTTCCTGTCACCTGTTTAATGGCCTGCCTTGTACCTGTTCACCTTTCATCTACTTGCCAAAAGACTGTTTCCCAAACACATGAAGCACATTTCATTCGCAGCTGTTTTCTTTGTTGAGGTTTTGGTTCCTTTTTTTAAGCTCTGCCCCTTCAGGTCGCAGTGTGTGCAACACTTTAGTGGGTTTGGTGAACAACCAAATCCTGATAAAAATCCTGATAAGATGCTGTTTATTTAGTGATGGTGCCAAAAGTGAGAAATATCAGATCAGTTGAGAAATGGAAAAATATTTTTTGCATGTCAAATTTCCAGTTAGGCTCCAGCAAAGTAGCTATAAAGCTAATTTACTATGAATAAATAAGTCATCTTTTATTGGATACAGCATCATTTTATTTATTTATTTTTGGAACATGTTTGACTTAAAATCAGAGACTAAAGCAACCAGTTCTGCATGCAATTGTAATTGTTTGTTTTATAGTCAACTGTCCTCCTAGCTGTTTAAGTCCATTTGTCATTTTAAGCACAATGAATCAAAAACTTGTAACGCCTGTTTCTTTATAATAGTTAACGCATAACGCTTAGTGCAGACTGGATTGCTTTATGGCAGCGTAGGAAATCGACCAACCCTGATCTTGACTGAGAAAGGGAGTTTTTATCTTTTGCAATGACATCAAACACAATCTACTCTTATTTATATTATTCTGTCACCCTTTTATTCTACAAACACTCAGGAATGTGCCGTGGGGTTCTCTGAATCTGGTGCCCTTGGCGTCCCAGAAGTTTACAAGGATTTCATATCAAGCAACTCACAAAATATGTTTTAAACTAAAAAATAGAAAGGTCTATTTTCCTTTGCATTTTGACATTATGACTTGCCAAAGAGTTGAAGTCAGCCAAACGAGCTTTCCCCCATTGACCAAAGTAGCTTTTTTGCTTTTTCGGCCAATATAATCATTTGCTGCTCTTCTTTAACCCAACAAAAAACAAATGAGAAAAATAAATAATCTAGTCAGAATGTGTTCCTACGTGTATTTCATCATCATATTCACATAGTCAAGCTCAACCTTTCAACCCTGTTACACGTATAAATTATATTTATGATTATTTGTTTTAAAAAAAACAAAGATAGCTTTGGAAAAATACACTGATTTCTTGTTTTGATCTTCCTATGAGGTTGCTAGCTAATGTTGACTTATGACTACCTTTAGCTAAATTCTTCAACCTCATGACATTCAACCCTGCAACAACAGATGCAAGTCGATTCAAGTTGCAAGTCGTTGGCATTCAAGCCCGAGTCAAGTCATAAGTCTTTATAGATTTTATCAAGTCAATTCAGAAGTCATTAAAATAATGACAAGTCTAAGTCAAGTCCAAGTCATGTGACTCGAGTCCACACCTCTGGTCGCTGGGTCCCATTTTTAAAGCCTTTGGTATGACCCAACTGTGGATTTGAACCCACAATCTCCCAGTCTCAGAGTGGATGCTCACGGCGGTACATCAACACAAAATTATGTTTGACTCACTCAACCACTAACTTTAATTCCTCCAATAACACAATTTAAAGTTCTTAGATTGCCACTTGTTATAAAAAGATTGTTGAGTCATCTGAGTACATGACATTTTTTGCTTTCTTTAAATGCAAGGCAGCTTTGTTTATATAGAACATTTCATACACAAAAGTAATTCATTGTGCTTTTCAGGAACAAGAAAAGAAAAACATTAAAATCAATGTGACAACATAAAACAGCAGATTTCAAAGTCAGAATTCAAATACACCAATTCACTGCATTTTTTGGGAAACCAGGCAAAAGACCTTTGTAATAATCCAGTCTTCCGGAGAAGAATACATGAATGAGTTTCTCCAGATCTTATCTGGAAATGAGCCCTCTGACTCTTGCTGATTGATGAAGACGATAAAACGCTGATCTGGTTATAGCCTTAATGTGACCAGTGAAGCTCAGGTTTATGAGATTTCTAACCTGAATCTTTGTCTTTGTTTCTCTGGAGCCAAGTTGAGCAGTACATTCCATCTGTCCTTCTTATATCCAAAGACAATAACTTCAGTCTTGTCTTTGCTCAACTGAAGGAAGTTTGGCTGCATCCAGTCATTAACTTGGTTCAAACACTGATAGAGTGAGTCTAGAGGACCACAGCCACTAGGTGATAGGTAGAACTGTGATAGGCGACGTGTTTATGGTATATGACCTGACCCAGGGGGAGCAGGTAGAAATTGAAGATCAGCGGTGCAAGAATTGGACCTTGGGGAACACCCAATGGCAGGTTCTTTGTATATAGAGTAAAGCAGAGAGGTCCCAGGCAAATTCCCTGTGACATGCTACGGCCAACTACCTTTTCATCTGAAAAACTTTCCATCACAGAAGACCGTTAGCTTCCTGTTTTCTAAATAACTCTGAAACCAGACCATTTCTATGAGGCTAAACACATAACAGAGCATTTCTCTTAACAAGTGTTTATAATCAGTAAGATCAAATGCAGAGCTCATATCTAACAATACAGCTTCTAACCTTTTGTTGTCTATTGCTGTTAACCAGTCTTTTTTTTTTCATCTGAGCAATGTCTGTTGTGATTGAATGGCCTGTTCTGTATACATTACAGTACTCTGTTCTCTGTGTGGTACTGGAACTGTCAAGAATCAAACTACTGAAATTACCTAATGTGAAGGATTTTGTCCAAAGAACCTAACAAGCATCTTTTGAATCAATCATAGTTCAAAAAGTCACGTGTCCCCTTTAAATGGTTTTAGCTCATTGTGCTCAATAAATTAAAATACAAATAAAAAGAACACTGTAGTGGCTTTTGCATTTCTTTGAAGCCCCTATCCGGCTGTGAATAACCCATCTAACAGTAGCAATGTGGATGCAATTATGACTCCTGGGTCAGTTTGTGTCTTTAGGGTTGAAGTGGGCTAGAGAGTTGCATGATTACAGACTTTGCTGTGTGTTTAAGGCCAGAACGTTTGTGATTCTGGGGTTGTCTCTGACTCTTTCTGAAAACTTGAACCAGAGGCTGCACTCAGTGTAAGTAAGTGCTGTTTGGACTGTTACAGTGTTGTTTACCATAAACTCTTACACTCTTTATTTTCTCCTCACCGCTGATCACAGCTCCTGTAAACTTTTCAACCGTCTCTGTAATAGTGGAACTCTGTTTATTCAAAAAGCACACTTCTGCTTCACTTTCAGTTGTCTAAACAAGCGGAAAGCAAAACATGCAATGATGCAAAGGCTAAAAATGCTTTACATACATAAGAACCTGAGGTCCTGTTGGTATTTTTAACATTTAATTATCTCAAATGCTAAAAATGACAGTTCTGATGAATGATGGGAGGATAAAAATGTTCAAACATAAACGTATGTTACCCAAAACTGCATCAACGTGCACAATAAAAAAAATTGTTAACTTTAACACTATAATATCTTAAATGAAACTACATATTGGTTTAGTTAAATCTACTTTTGAAAACCAAAATTTAGCTAGGAGTTGTAAGTAAGAGTCATTCCCATTTTATTGTCTGCCCATCACATATTTTTATATCAGGGGTGTTTCAAGGAAAAAGGACAAAAACACTAAGAGAAAAGTCTCTGTGGGCCAAAAAAATATATAACTTAATAAAAAAAACAATGCAAAAAAATGGTTATGGTGACCTTTTTCCATTTGCACAGCTAAAAACAGGCATATTTATAAAGATTATCAGTAAAATGTTCAATTGTCAAAGGGAGGAGGCCAACACAGATATTTATCTTTTGTTTTAGATGTAGAAAATGTTTCCCTTACTAAAATAATGTTTACAAGATTACAACAACATCATAATTTTTAATTTGATATATTGGTGTGTGTGTGTGTGTGTGTGTGTGTGTGTGTGTGTGTGTGTGTGTGTGTGTGCGCGTGTGCGAGCGCCTGTTGACGGGGTGGCAGCATTGCCATCTGTCAGTACTCTGGGTGGCCTGGTGTTCCTGTTGGTAATTGGATCTTAAAGTTTGAGGCTGGTGCTGACTGATAAACACACACACACACACACACACACACACACACACACACACGCACGCACACACACGCACACACACATTACGGAGATGAACACGTCTGTGTGTAGCTGTTTATGTCTGGGCACCAATGAAAGGGAATTGGCTTGGATCTAAGGGTAAATTTTGGTGTCTGCTCACCAGAAACCATTTTTTTAACTTTGTAAACCAATTGGTGAAGCTGTTATCACTCACCTTGGCACTGTGAGTCTAGACAAATGAAGAATCCACGTTTCTAAAATCCAGTGCAGTTCTACTGGCCAGGATTAAACCGTTAGAGGAAATATGTAAATACCAAAATGCCCTCCTGCAGCAACATGGGGGTCGCCCTTAGAGTCATTACTTGATGCCAAACAATGAAAAATGAAGGCTGTTTGGGCAATGCCTGCATCCGTTCTGTTATTTGATATCGGCATGTTTAACCACACGCTTCGTCAGACCACCTGGATTTCCTAGCATGAAACCAATGTTTCTTCAACGGTTTTGTGGCATCTGGCCTTATTTGAAAGAATGAATGAAAAATTGGAATTAAGTAGGGAAGAGTCATTGATCATTTTCTCCCTTGCCTTCTGTTTAGGTCGTGCTTGACAACATGAAGCGGAAGTGTAAGTGCCATGGGACATCAGGGAGCTGCCAGCTGAAGACTTGCTGGCAGGTCACTCCAGAATTCCGAGTCGTGGGCTCGATTTTGAAAGAGCGCTTCCATGTGGCCACACTTATCAAGGCTCACAACAGGAACACCGGACAGCTGGACCACTCTCAAAACAATAACCACAATCATCACAACCATCATCATCAGCACAGCCACTACAACCACAACCACCACACACATCGGCGGAGGCCGAGCGTCAACGAACTGGTGTATTTTGAAAAATCGCCTGACTTTTGCGAGCGGGATCTGGGCTCGGACTCGGCAGGTACGCAGGGTCGGATATGCAACAAAACCAGCCCCGGCATGGACAATTGTGAAAGTCTGTGCTGTGGGAGGGGCCACAATATTCTCCAGCAAACACGGAGCGAACGTTGCAACTGCAAGTTTCACTGGTGCTGCTACGTGGTCTGTGAAGAGTGCAGGATAACAGAGTGGGTCAGTGTATGCAAATGAAGAAAAACACCCAAATCTATAAAAAGAAAAGAGAAAAACAGACTGATTTGATCCAAACTCTTACTTTAAAAGGGGGAAAGACTGTAAAATAAATGCCCCGATCGTTTTATTTTGCAGTTGACTGCAGAGAAGTTGTGCAAGGATGGAACGTGAAGCAGTCAAACTTGCAAAAGAAAAGAAAAGAAACTACTTCTTGATTGTTGGTAGTAAGTGTTCACATGCAGGATACATCTAAAGGTGGCACAAGTCAGGGAGAAAGAATGCATACTGCTTCATTCTTAAAATAAAAGGTTTACAACTTTAATGAATCAGACTGCAAAGCAGAAATAACAAAATATACAATAAGATCTTTTTGACACATAAAAGTCAGATTTGTTAGTTACTCACTCAAAAGTTTTTCCTGAACACCCGTCTCTGACTTCCAGTGTAGAGTGCATTTTAGTTTGTGCTCTACATAAACACACAAACTTAGATGTTCCCACAAGAGTCCACCTAAAGCAACAACGTGTTTGAGCACTCACACATTTTGTGCCTTGCTGAAGGACAACTAGGACAATCTATTTATAGCAACTGTCATGTTGCACATACAAGACAGCAGGTTAAGCTGATGCAAATGTTCCATAATAATGTAATAAAGTGTGACACTGCTTTCAAATTGTGACATCCTCTTAATAACAGAAATGCTCAGTTTGGAAGTAAAAGCTGCCACGCTGAAATCTATTCAGTCAAAAGTCTGATCAGAACAGTTGCTGCTGTTTCCTTACATTGGAAATCGATGTGGAAAAACGATTAAAAGCAACTTTTTAAAACGTTACATCTGTGCACCAGAGCAGCCATCTTGTGGATCCACTTGAGTATGAAAAATCACAAAGACAAGAAGTTTGTGTCACTGTTTCTACACATGCACGCAACAAAAGGAAAGATATGTGAACCTGCGTTCATTCATCCAAAACGTGCCACGTGTGGTCTGTGTGATGTGTTCCGTGGTGAGTGTCATTGTGCACGGTGGATTCAACGAGCACTCTTCATCTTCAACATGATCTGAATAGCACTGTAAATACAAATGAGTAATGATGCACAAATGCCATCAATAACGTTTAAGAGCCTCAGGAAACTGAGCGCACATGAATGAGCTCCAGTTGCACACTATAAACATCCGTATATGACATCAATCAAAGTGTTTCCTGTTTTGTGATGCATGTCCTGTGTGCAACACTGTAAGCTCCTTGTTATATATCCACTTACCGTCTTTCCACATCACCAACAGCCAAAACCTGGTGTCAACTTCCAACTATATAAGTAATACTGCTTATGTACTTTTATGGGACCTTATGTTGTCTCAAGATACTTGTATGAGTAAAGCTTCTTATCAGATGGTGTAATTTATTTTGAGCAAATGCTTCTGTGTTGAAAACAGAAAAAAATATTCTGAGATTATGTCTCAAATGCAACAGATTGTGTTTTCTTTATTCTGATGAGTAGTTTGCACATACTAATCTGTGTCCAGGAAAACTCTGGGAAGTTATCTTCAACATGCATTTTTTTAAGTGTTAATTGTAATGTGTGTTTGTGTGTATTTTTGTGTTTTATTGTGGATATTATCTAAGTTATTTTTTATTTTTGTGGATAACTTAATATTTGTAAAACAATAAATACAGATGTGTTCATGAAAATAGCTTTTGTGTGATCATGCCAACATTGCACTTGGTGCATACTTTTTTAAAGACCAAATTCACTCTGAAATGGTCTCTGGTTTAAATGATTGCCTTGTGAGTCAATCACTGCGGGGATACAAGCTCTGGCGCAACTGTTTGAGGAACTAGAAGTGAGCCAGAGCAGAAGTGAACAGAAAACAGCAGGTTTTGGAGTCTTATTTCCGGATATTTGCACGTTGCCTCTGACTGGCAAACAGCAACGTGACTCTACCACTAACTTTCTTTTGCTTTGCAACGTTGTTTTATCTCCACAAATAACACCAACCTGAAGAAGTTCTGCCATGTTGTGGAATTGCTAATGCTAACGTTTAGCTTCTCCTAGTCGAGATGTGCTCTGATCTCTCCTGGACTCTAAATAAGAACAGCCTTCTTCATCACAAGTCAAGATGGTTGAAACCATGAATGCTATTTAGACAATGTGACATGCAATAGTCACTGTCTTTGCTTATCAGATAATGTTCTTGTCTGTTTTCTATTGGTGGCTAATAAGAAAATAGGGATAGACGATTTTCACATTTAGCCTGGATGTTAAACTCACACTGATCAATCATATTTCAAAAAGAACAAGTAACAAACGGTTTCTCATTTAATTTGGCCACTAAGTATTGCACCAGTAACTTTAAAATCATTTCTTTTGCAAGATCCTCAAGGTGCAATGAGTCCACTCGGAACATTTTAATCTTAAGTCTTGAGAACCTTAAACGATATTAACAGACGTCAACATTATTAAAGGGGAACAAGGTAGTTTTGGCTTGCTTTTAGCACCCCCTAGTGTCTGTTTGTAGAACCATAAGCAAAACCTATCGCTACACTATGCGTTCGTCTTCAACACCTTAATCTAACAGCTGAAATGTCTCCCCAGCCTTCCTTAATGTCTACAGGAGTGATTCATTACTAAATTCAACAAATCAGCTGTTCATGATCTAAAACAGTGTTTCTCAACCCTGGTCCTCAGTGACCCCTGTCCTGCATGTTTTCCATGTCTCTGCTACAGCATACCTGGTTCACATATTTGCATTGCCTCCTTAGGAGGACATCAAGTGTCATGTTGGGAATATGTTTAACCCAGGACATGAAAGAATCACAAGCGGAGACGAGGGTGAGTAAATTACAAATAATATTTATTTAAGAACGAATAGTTAACATAAAGCGCTGCTCCAAACGAGAACAGGAGGGACCAAGATCTAGAACGAAAGAAGACTGGGATTAAAATCACAAAAAACAAACCCTGGAACCAGAGAACCAGAACAGGAATGGTTTGGAGAGTTTCTCTTACTGGGAACGTTCAAATCTTTGTTGAGGTTGGGCTGGGTAGTTGAAGCCAAGAGGGGACAGACAGGACACAGAGGATGAGGATCCAGGCTGAGATGAGTGAACAGGTTGTGTGGCAGATAGTGAGGCAGGTATTGCTGCAGATCCGGAGGATGTTGGTAGGCAGACTGGGAAACGGGTAGGATGACAGGTGAGCGGCGGAGAGCAAGGAGAGCGAGGAGACCAAGGGACAGTGAGCGACATGATGTAGAATAACAACTCCAGGCAGTGGTGAGTAATCCCAAGATGCGAGTATCAACCGGCACTGGAGTTGTGTCACACTGCTCCTTAAGTATCCCTGGTCCTCTGATCAGGGAGATCAGGAGCAGCTGGCTCTCCGACACGCCCACCTGAAACACAAAAAACTGGAACAACTGCTGTGCATTACGTGAGATGATTTGTGAGCAGGGCAGATTGTGACATCAAGTGCTGCAGAAGCCTGTTAATCGCTCATTCATTTAAGTCAGGTGTGTGGCAACAGAGAACAATGCTGTTGGACACGGCAACATAGAAAGCATGCGGGACGGGGGCGCTGAGGACCAGGGTTGAGAAACACTGAGCAGGAACCATGCTGGAACAAGACTGCAGTGCCTGGTATGTCAGCTCAGTGATCCGGTCCAGTTTCTTTCACCTGAGACGCCTTGCAAATATCAAGCCTATGCTGTCGAGAGCCCACCTGGAGCGGGTACTGCATGCCTTTGTTATTTCTAGGCTTGATTACTGCAACTCTCTTTATTCAGGGTTGTGTCAGTCATCACTGCGTCGCCTACAGGTTGTGCAGAACAGCGCAGCAAGGTTCCTGACTGGGACCAAGAAACGGGACCACATCAGTCCGGTTCTGGCCTCCCTGCACTGGCTTCCGGTTTGCTATCGTGCACAATTCAAAATCCTCGTCTTTGTTTATCATTTCTTCCAGGGTGGTGCTCCCCCCTATCTGGCCACTCTCCTGAACAGACATTCCCCATCACGCGCTCTGCGCTCCTCTGACCAAGGCCTGCTCGCTGTCCCTCGTTCTAGGTGTCGTACTCGCGGGGACCGGGCTTTCTCAGTCCTAGCACCGTCACTTTGGAACCAGTTGCCACCCTCAGTTAGGCTGTCCCCATCTCTGCCAGCCTTTAAGAGTCGCCTAAAAACACAGCTTCTCCGGTTGGCGTTTCCTGAACATGTTTGATTCGGCCCTCTTTTACGTTGAATTTCTTTCACAGTCATTGGTTCACTCTATCCCTTGTTTTACCCATCTGTCCTGTACTAGAATGTTTCACCTTTTTTGTAATTTGTATTTTGTAATTTGAATTGATTTTATTTTTGAATTGCTTTTATTTTTTATTTATTCACTATATTTGTACTTCTACTGTACCATGTTCAGCGCCTTGGGCTTCCTGACAGGGTTGCGGAAGGCACTTTATAAATAAAGCTTTGATTGATTGATTGATTGATTGATTGATTGATTGATTGATTGATTGGTTGATTGATTGATTGATTGAGCTAAATCTTTTCTAAATCCCAACTGAGCAGTCCACCTGTCTAAATTTGTAAGTGGAATATTCTGGTCTAAGGGGGTGATAGGGGCTGGGTAGTGTTTCATTAACCATGTAAAGGGTCATTTTAGCACATACTGGCTCAAGAAAATTATTTAAAAATATGAAAAAGTTGCAAGCTGTCTCTTTAAGAGCAGAAAAATACCAGTTGTTTCATGGCAGAAACATTTGGTTCTTTTCAGCACCTTCTGGTATTCAAATTGTGCAAAAAATCTAATTAAAAATGTGGTTTTGTGTTTTTAATTAGACTCTGATGTATAAATGCAATGCTGAGACTGTCTGGCATCTTTCATCAAATTCCAAGTGTTTATTAGAGGACGACACATCTAAAACACCGAAACTTGTGCGAGTTGGTTTGAAGATCATCTGCTAAATAAGTTAAAAAAAACTGTGATTTTTTTCTTTCATTTTTATTAAATTTATTGCAATATAAAAATGTGGAAACTGAATCTATGGGGACACTTAAACTCACCATAGTGCAAAGACTTTGACCATGTTTGGTTCAAAGTCACACAGATTCTTGAACGTTCTTAAAGTTGCAGGAACAAAAATCCACATCTGTCACAGATGAAAAAGCTTCTCAGCTTCTCTTTTTTTTCTTTTTTTCTCCCTCTTGTCATTTCTGGCTGTGGAGCAAACAGAATTGATGTCTGAATGCTGGAAACAAGCCTTACCCCCAAATTCCACTACCTCCGCTCCGGCACGAACTCCGCAGCAAAATCGGTCCCGTTGTAGTCAATCAGAGCCATTCCACTACTGCGGCCGTGCGGCGCAGTGCGCCGCCCTCTCTTCCGGCGTCCGGCAAAAATAGAATCAATCCTATTTTTGCCGGACGCCGGAGCACCTCCGCAGTCAATGGACAGGAATCACAACCGCCCAACAGGAAAGGGAGCAAGCAAAGCTTCCGTTATTTCACAATAAATCGATAAACAAAAAGCGTTTTGTGTTTCATATGCACAGGTTTGACAACTTTTAACAACTATCAATGGCGGCTGAACTTTAAATGCACAAAAGTAAGCCATAAATACAGTTTCTACTATCAAAGTAGTCACACTTTGTTGATCCAAACACTGCTGATCTCTCAACACAATTGATGGGCAGATTAAACAGTTCATTTCGATGCTTCTCCCACACAACGGGTGTTTGGATCCAACTTCCGCGTTTATTGCTCGGACTGTATCGCAAGATCTCGAAAATCCCACACATGCTTGTTTACGCACCTCAGGTCTCCGCACCGGAGCGGAGCCGTTGTAGAGCGGGTACCAGTAAAAATTGAGTTTGGATGCGAGCGGTTGCGGAAGGCGGGGCGGAGCGGAGGAAGTGGAATTTGGGGGTTACTCTCAGGTGGAGCTTTAAAGCTTCTGCTTTAGTGTCACGCCTGATCCTAAAACTTTATTGTCAGTGTTTTTGGATCTTTTTAATTCCGACTGGACACGGAGCCAGAGGTGAAAAAGAAAGGAAGAGAGAAAAGGAAGAGGGGGTTTGACAAAAACAGTCAATGATGAACAAGAGTATGCCTCTAGACCTGCAGAAAGAGAGAGAAAAAAAAGGGACACACAACAATACAACAAAAGCAAAATATCACTGTGTCAACCTCATGAGGAAATATAACATCAGTATTGTTTTGCTGAACAATCACATAATAATAAAACAACAGTGAATTTAGTGCCAGCCACAGCCTTACGACATGTGTTGAAAATGCCAAAGTCCACACTTATGTGAGCACCTGTGTGCATACGCGCGCTCGTATACGTGAGGTTTCTCTATAGGAGCGTCCAATAGTGAGTATGAGGGGCCACAGATCTGCCCCCCAAAAATGTGCGGAAGATGGAGGGAGCTCCAACCCCCAGAGATCCAGGAGCTGCCCCAGAGTTCAGGGACCTCAGGGAGACTGTCACTGCATACCTTTCCAAACTCATTCTAGACAATAAACACAATCCCAGAATACTTTTTTCCACCATAAACAACATTTTAAACCGTACATCCAATTCACTTCAGAAAACACCCTCCAATGCACTCTGTGAGGAGTTTGCAGCCCACTTCAGAGGGAAGGTAGACACCGTCAGGCGGAATGTTTTATCCTCCATAAGCAATAAGGTTTTAGATAAATCTGAATGTGTGTCTATACCAGAGGAAACACTGGACAGCTTTGTCCTGGTAGAAGCTGAGACTCTTGATAAAGTTTTCTCCTCAGTGAGACCCACCACATGTGTTCTGGACCCAATCCCAACTTTGTTTTTTAAACAATTTTATGGATCTTTTAGTGATGCAGAGTTTTGCTTGTAGGGAGGGGCAGGCGCTCTATTTGACTGGCCAATCACAGAGCGTGAAGACAGTCAGTTACCCAATCAGGATTTTCCTTCAGCACGATTACAGATATTTACGAGTTTTACTCGTTTCACGCTCGTACTCGTCAAAAGTGCTTTATCCGTACCGGATGCTCGTCTGAAACGAATATCCGGCTCATCCCTAGTCTTTACATTTAAGCAACTAGGTTTAGTGGAACCAGCTAACATAATTTGTTTAAGTAAATTCACATTTACATTTCTTACAGTGTAGATATGAACACATATTCTAATCACACTGATTCTGCAGACACCAGGGTGTTAATACTGTGGGTGTGAGTTAGGGTGAGCATCCTAAGACTTATCTACTCTTTTAAAAATGTTCAGAGGTTTTTCTTCTCTTTGCAGTCACTAAAATACCCTGAGAAAAAAAAACTGTTGTGTTGTCATTATAGATATTACTTTTTATTCCACATAACCTGAATGTTTCATGAAGCTCAAACCAGATAAGACCACATGTCTGTGGTCAAGTGTGGACCCTCCCTCACCAGTTGCGGCTTGCGTGCAGAGTGAAATCCTGTTGAGTGTCCTGACTCACTTAAATATTCTGTGCCCCGAGGGGGAAGCGATGAAGTCACCAACTCGTGTAAGAATACAAGAGATACGCTTTCAAAGTAAACAGTTGTGAAGTAAGAAGGTGCTATTTCTGAGTCATGCAACTCTATTCTTATCCAAACACACAACTGCTCTCCGATGCCTTGTCTGTATGATGAGTTTAGCATCTACAGCTCACTTTTCAACACACTGATCCAAGTGAAAATGCTCTGAACGTCGCTCGAAGGTTTCTCTCCACACGTATAAATAGTTTATGTGTGAACGTGTTCTTAGAGTAACACTGTTGGTGAAATGCTAGCGTGTGTTTGTTAACACGTCTTTTTTACAGTTTTTTCTTTTCATATTTTAAGTGAAAGTTGGTTCATGGTGGTATTGTTTTCAGAAGAGCACCAAACTAAGTTGGACAACCTGCTGAGATTGCAGCTGTCGTCTTGCACCAGCAGACACAAAGTTGATTGCTCTGTGAAGAGAAACTGATGTAAGATCTTCCGTTTCTTTATTTTTGACTGAAACAAAACAGTCATAACTTCTGCAAACCTTTTGCAAAACCTCATCAACGATTAAATGCGTTTTTTACAGGAACGGATCTTATGAATGTGAGGAGTACCAGGTCTGGACTTGTGCACCAAGATTATTTGAACAGCTTTTATTTTGATAGAGAGCAGGTCACAAGTGACAGAAGATTTGAGCTGAAAAAAAAAATCACGCTGGTAAGCTAGATTAATTTTGCTGTAACATGAACAAGCACGCCTGCATTTCTTTTGTTTTTGTTTTGTGCAAAAGGGTCAAAATGCAAATCATTAAAGAGTGCGGCTTTGGTGTGCAAAAATACTAGTAGAACAAACAGTCTTGTGAAATAGTTTAAAAATCAAATTCCAGTTTAAAATTTCTTGGGAAATCCAATAAACGGTTATGAGTCAGAAATTGCAGTGAGTTACATCATGTTATGGTTTTCATTAAAAATAAGCTATTAAAATAATGGCTTGGCACATTCAACCACCAAAAAAGAGCCGACGTTCTGTATTGTTTAATTAAATTTCTGGCAACAATTTAGCTGAACTCCGTCAACTCAGGAATGACATAATTCCCCAAAACACAGACAAGTTTGGTCTTTTGGATACCAGACAGTTGTCAAATACAATCATCAAGCATGACCACAATGTCTCAGTTGGTATTGTTGTTTTGTGAAATGGCTTGTAGAGAATGTTCTAATGACTCATGCTTAAATAAGTCATAAACGTCTTTAAATACATCTTTTTTAATGTTCCTGTATAAAAATCCTAGAACATTCCTAACATGATTAGTCTACTTTGATGAAAAATGTGCAGTCAGGTATGAACATGTGAGATGGGGACAAAGACATTACCTGTGAAAGAGACTAGATAGTCAAATATTAAACCCGTTTTCACTAATGGAACATACAGGTAATTTTACTGGACCTTCACAGCATACATGCTTCTCCATTTCACCGGGCTGGCTCAACCGGACCAGGAACCAATGGAGAACCTGAACTGGTGTATGTATTCAGAAAGGCCCAATAGCCTCTGGATGGGACTTATGGTTAACTAATGCCTCATCTGTCCACTTATCGGGTTGTGGGAGCAGCTGCCTAAGCAGAGAGGCCTAGACTTCTTCTCCCTAGTCACTTGGGCCAGCTCCCCATAGGCCTTCCCAGGCCAGCAGTAAAGCATA